ACTGTGTAGTCTGTGCTGGGCTTCTCCCCTCTCCGCTGTTTTGCTTTTACAAATACTCCTAAAACTAAGGCCTCAAATCCAAATATCCAGGAACGCAGGCTCAATAACTCTCTGTCTCAGCATCTATTTATTTTTTTCCGTAAGACAGACTTGCAAATGTGCAGCCTAGAAAATTTCTAGTAGTTTCTAGTGAAATTGGTCACCTTCCTGAGAAGTCAGAGAGCTGGACAGAAATTCACAGTGGGAACTGGAGCCCAAAGCTTCCATCCCTCAACTGACTGTCCTCCCTGCCACATTATCACAGAAATGGTGTTACTTCCTTCAAATCGTTTGAGAGAAGGGACTTTAAAACAGGATCTCATCTGGTGATGTTAGTACTGCGTAAAGCACCTAACTCACTCAGTAACTTCTTTACAAAAATTGTTGCCTTGGAGCTTCTATGGTTTACTTGCAGTTTTAAATAAGGTGGGAGATTTACTATGATGCACCAAAATCCTAAACAAAATGATCTGGTGTCAGTCCATTTTCTTTAGTATATTTTAGGCCATGTAGTTTATTCTATTGAATTAGTCATGTGCAGTCAACAGCAAAACTTTTAATAGAAATGTGCATAACTAGCAACTGACAAACAATCCTCACTTTACCTATGTTAAAAAAAAAAATCACTGTTGTCCAACTGAACAGTGTTATGCTAATAACTGATAAAGGTGAACAGATTTCCACCACCATATATTACATGGAATTGCACATAACAGTCAACTGCCTCATCATTATGTAATACTGGTTAACTTCAGAATTGCTAGGTTACTTGGCTTTGGTGTATCTATCTATCTATATCTCAGACAATTGCAGGCACTTGTCCAGTAGCAGGTTAAACTCCACAATTCTGAGTGACAGTTACTGACACAAAAAGATGTACTATTGATTTAGTCATAAAAGTCAATCCCTCTTTCCATTTCTATCGTTTCTTAACATTTAACCCTGAAGGCACACAAATCTTTATGCACTTCAGTTTCCCTCAGTGCATTTCCACAAGCATCTGTGCCACAGGGCACCTGTGCAGCTACCAAAGACCGCAAGCTGCTGGGATGTACCACACTAAAGGATTCCCAAACAAGTTTTTTTTCCCCTCTAGTGTCTGGTCTGTTGTCCAGTCAAGTAGAACATTTTCTCACTTCGTGGATATGGTCATTTGCCACTTTCAGAAACAAACCGTGCTACAGTGCTATACTCAATAGACTAGCATGTAGGATGTCACCAAAGAGACCCAGATTAGAAACTACAAATGGTCTGATCTGGAGAAAGAAAAACACTTATTAATTAAGGTCTATTCCCCTGTGGAGTATTAAGGCATCCAGGTCCTTCCTAGCTCAAAGTGCACCCTGTACAAACACAACAGTCTCTACTGCAGACTGTTCTATAACTTAGAGAAAGAAATACCCTTCAAGGATAGGTGTGCCCACCAAATTGGGTATAGGCTGGACCTAGGCTACCTTTGCTCTCCAATGGCACGGGAGGAGAAAGACCTACTGCCACCATCTTTTCTTTTCAAGGGTTTAGGTAGTCCCTTGCAGAATAGGGTCAACACAGAAAATGCTCCCTGGAGGGAAGCAGGTCTCTCCAAGTGCTAACCTCTCAGAGTGGCAAACCTTGAGCCTTGGCATTTTCCACTAGAACAGACAACACTCACATGCACTGTTGTACCCAATTTCAGCAGTACAAATCAAATCAGTCCAAAGTTCAACCGCACACTTCACTACACACACAAACCCTCAAAAGTACAGAACTCATTTTTTCTACAGGCAGTTATAATTGTTCCTCATTAACAAGCTCTGTCTCTAATTCTAGAAAAAAAGATTACACAACTTCCCATCTTCCACGTTTTCAGCTCCTCTGCAACTGGGCTTCCAGGCTACAGCTCAAAGCAAGCAATTTTAAAATCAGAATTTGTTAAGATCCTGAGATACAATTTCAAATTCTTCTTAAAAAGGGTCAGCTCTCTTCCCAGCTTGATCTAATTGCTACTCTTTCTTGTTGCCAATTGAATTAGCAATGTTATTTGCATATTCACTCATCTCCAATGAGGTCCTTCCAGAGGACATGCCCTACTTCCTTGATCAACATTTTCATACTGGCCCTACTTCAGTGAGTGACACATTACTTCCATGACCCATTGTGCTCCAAAAAGGCACCGCCTACTCTTGTTTCTTGCCATTTCTCCAAATTTATGGTGTTACTGAAGAGGTGACAAAAATCAAAACAACGAAAAGCTACTCGACCACCTCTGCTTTACTGGATGCTTCACTCAAGTGTGATGCAAACCAAAAATTTTCAGAAATCAGAAATTATTTTCAAAGAACTATTCTAGCTAAAAGTGTTAATTCCCTCATTAAAAATATTACAGCATGCTACTTTTTACTGATGCAAGTATGCGTCAAGTAGTTTAAAAAATACCTCTGTAAAGTCAACTGAATTCCAGAAAACCCAACATAATCATGAGTTAGTAACACCTGCAAGATCATTGCAATTGTCTTCTCTAATCTACACAATAAAGGCATTTCAACTTCCACAAATTGATTCTTCTTCCTAAATCCTTTGTAAAATGATCTCATTTTAAAAATACCAATGTTTGAAAATCCACCTTTGCAAGTTGGCCCCAGTACCAAACTACCTTTATTGCTAAAATAAGACCAAATTGTAAGTCTAATAATAAAATAGATCCAAAACAAAGCAAGTGTGAATTTATCTAGCTTCTCTTTCTAGCCGTTTGAGTTTAGTAATGCATGTCTGTTACATTTAAGTAGCTCATTACAAAATGTTTCCTAGGTAGGTATTTAATAACTGGCATTAAATCACTCCTCGACTGCTGAGTTAAATACATTGAGCTCCTACAAAATTTTGCTATGTATTTTTCCAGTACCTCACTCATTCCTATAGCTCTTCCTTGAACCTTCTCCAACATTTTACAATCTCTGTTGAACTAGATAATTTTCCAGGACTGCTTACGCTAATGCCAAATAGAGGTAAGATATACACGTTTTAACTGCATGACAATGTTTGATTAAATGACTTTCTTTAGCCAAGTACCACACTATGAACAGCTGTACATGTACATTAATGAATGTACTTTCTCCATTTTCACTCACTTCTTCCTTGGATTTAGAGCCTAAAAACACATTGCAGGAACTATGGTCATTTTCTCCTAATGGTGTAGCTTCAAATTTCAGTTTGCATGGCTCCATCTTGCAAGGCAAGCCAGGCTGGCTGTTTTACAACAGTGATTGATTTACACTTCCACTAATCTTTTGTTATCTTCAAGCTGCTTGGATTTTACTTCAGGTAACAAATTAATGTATCAATCCGTTATGATGGAGTAAGGCTAAGAGCTAGTCTGCAAAGCCTCAGTGGTCTTCACTTGCAACTGCCATCTTGTCAGCCAATGTCTCTAATCCATTCAATTCTTTATGTTTATTTTGTATTATTTCAGGCTTAAGTTTAAATACTATGAGATATCAAGGCTTTACCCTTGGGCCAATACCTGGCCCTTAAGCTATTTTGTCAGGAAACCATAAACCATTTCCCTGACAGCACCCTGCTTCCTAAAAAGGCAGGTCGCTATCTGTTCCCTGCTAGCCTCCAGTGTATGCAGTCAAGGGCTCCCCTCACACAGCCTGACAAGGTCTCTGGGTCCATTGCCACAGCCGTGAATTGCTGGAAAATGCAACAGTCATGTCAAGCAAAATTCTTTAGTCACAAAGCATAGACGTAAGGCAATTATTTCACTACCGCCTCCACTCCCAGCACTTTTAAGACTACTCATCTTGACAGCTTTGAGGAACATGTATGCATTGAACTGCACTAAGGACACAACTCAAGTGGAAGCTGCATGTTACAGCAACCAGAAACTATCATGGCAAGCGCCTAGCTTCCCAGAGATGGTGAAAAAGCGAGCTGTGGTGCAAGTCGTATGACATCTTCTCAAGCTGAGCTACACGCTCCTGTCAAAGTAATTCTTTGGAAGAGAACCACCTCCCACACAAGGATTGAGGACAATGCATCATGTAAGCTTATGATGAAATGACTGGAACCAAGCTGTTTACTTAAAAGTGCACCAAGCACTTTCATAGCAGGGTAGCATACTAGACCTTGCAGCTCCAGACTTTCAGCACTTAAGTTTCAGTTAATGTTTTCAATACAGTCATAGGAGAAACTCTGTAATCCTTGGGATGCTGAAAACCTAATTTTCCATTTAGTGATAATAAGCACTAAACCATTCTTACTGGTTATTGCAATAATGTCCTTCAGTAAACCTACTTTAGAGAATTTAACATGTATTTAAATACTCTTCTTTCTTCCTCTCTCTTCCTCCCCTCCCCATCTGGAAAGAATTAATTTGCAAGTCAAACAACAATCATTTGACTCACACAAAACAACATGAAACCAAGACTCTCAGTAGATTTATACCACATCCTTTAGGGTTTTAGTTTAGTTTCACATAGTGAAGCATCTAATGGCTTTCATAATTTTGAACAGATAATGCTGAAATTGGGCATACCACAAAAACAGCTGTGGATATGCATTTTCCAATAATGTTTAACTGATTTTTTTTTGCTATTTTCTGAAATGAGAAAAAACTCATTATGTGCAGAAATAATATTATGCTATTTTTAGCACGTTTTAGCATTTAGCTGTTTAGCAATTTTTTCTCCTTAGACTGTAGTGTTATGCAAAAATCAACAGATAGAGATTATCTTGGTTTACAAAACACAGCATACTAGTCATGAAGATACTTGGGTAACGTTATTCTAGATGCAAATTTGGAACAATATTAAACTTTAATCTCATTCTATGGTGTTTCATACACAGTTTCCAAAACAAATATACGAACCATTGCTTTTGTGTGTCCCCCCCCCCACACCCTTTTATTTTTACTAATAATTTTTATTTAAATAAGACACAGGAACTTCTATACTGAAAAAAATACAAAACAAAAGCCACACTTTCCTTGTGTAAAGCAATATTGTGTGATAACTTGAATACTGTTCAGCACAGTGGCTAGAAATAACAGTACAACTATGTACAAAACTTTAAACAATATTTGACAAATTTCTACAGCTGGATGTAGAATACAACTGAGATAACTGCTGGGAAATTTACATGGCAAAACATTAGCTTTAACACATTTGGTTCAAAACCTTCAAACCTGCTAAGAACAAATGTGCAATATAATTAATATTTAGTTTCTCATGGAAAAATAAAAAGAACATGTCATGGCATTGCAAACATTGTAGATAGAGTTCATCGCTGATCTAAAAACCACTCATCACCTCCCCTGGTAACCTAACACCAGTAACCGAGACTACAGTTTCTTATCTGGACATAACCAGAGCATAAAAAGGTCATCATACTGCAATGTTAATCTAGAAGGTAAAATATTAAAGGGAATTGATACTTTCATCACAAGTACTCTCTCCCCTTTACCTTCAGTCTATAAAATATAGAGTGTTTTCACCTAGGCCTGAGATTAGTAGGATTAAAGATGGCTGTTGTGTTTCAAGGTTTTTCATATGAAAATGGTTAGGAGACAGACCTCTCTCTCCTTATACATTTTCTGCAAGGGGAGTCAAAACCCAGTAAATTTTATAGGCTGCAAATTCCACCTTGTGAGACAGTATCCACGAAACCTTCATAATAAAAAGGAAACTATGCTTCTTCATCTCCAAAGAAAATACATACTTAGTGAGTAGTTATTGGTGGCTTACTCTCACCCCCCTCCAACCTCATCTTCAAAAGAAAAAAAAAAATGGAGCGAGTTTAAATGCTCAGTAGCTGCAGGCTACTAATCTCCTCAATTCCTGGAAAAGGTGAACCTTATTCTCTTAGGAGCAGATAGCATAAATGTAGCTCCACTGAGCTGAAAGCAATGGAGCAAGAACATCAAGTTTATTTTGCCTCTAGGGTCCCCTTTGTATCACAGGAAATTATCTCTGAAAGCAATGCTCTTGTTGTTCCAGTACAATAGAAGAGCACTACTAAACAGTTCTTGCCATGCACTATTTTGAGAAAGTGTCCAGCCTGCAAAACCAGGATTAGTTTACCAGGATTTTTTTATTCACATTTCAGGAGGGGGGAAAACACACTTTTATACACACAGCTTCAGTAACTGAAAATGATGGGAGAAACTTTGATTAAGCAACACGAACTTAAAACTATTGTTTCCCCCCAGCCCTCTTTAACACACCCACTTGCTACTTTTGGACTTAAATCCAAACACAATTGCTCACTACATAAATAAAACGCTGCTCATCTAACACTGCTTAACAAAATCTGAATGCCTACTTCCAACCAGCAAATGAATGAACATTTCCAAAAGAGAAACTAAACATTAATTTGACTTTTAGTCGGTAACAGTAGCATTTCACATCCTTAACTGCCAACAAAAACATGAGAGGAAATCCCCATCACCCCCTGTGAAACCTGAAAGAATTTCTGTAGTTGAACAAAAACATTCTTGTCTTTCAAAATCCTTTCACACACAACATGGAATGTTTCTCAAGTACAGCCTAGTACTGAACACTTTATTTGCAACAGTTTAACAGTCATTAACTGAGCAACACCTGAAACCTTTAAAATGCCACATTTTACATATATTGAAATGACAGTAAATGCAACAGTTGTTTTGCTTGTAAGCACATGACAAAGTGATATACATCACAGATTTGCTGGTTCTCCTCACGTTCACCCATGTCCAGGGTCATCATTCACCTGGATCTGAATGCACTTATTCCAAGAAAGTGGAATGTAATGAGGAAATATTAATGCATAAAATAAGGAAAGGCAAAAGAGTGATGTTCCCTCTTTAGCTTTGTAGCTGTAAAATATTTTATATCCCAATATGATATACATTCCAAGTTACCTGAGTTTACACTTCGAGAGAAGTACCTGAAGCTAGGCCATAGGGTGGGCACTGTGCAACTGTTGTGGCCATTTTTTTTTTTTTTTTTTTGCATTGTGTGTATTACAGAAGTTAGAAACATAAACACCTGGATCAATTGTAAACATAATCCTGAAGTACAGTATTTTCCATAGGACACAACACAGCAAGACATTTTCTATTCAGACAGGCAACTTCTTTTTTTTTATATATATATAGAGCTTATTTATACTGTAGAATTTGAAACAGAACACAGGACACAGTACTAATCTGGTCAAACATACTATGAAATGCATAGTCTCCACTTAAAACGATTAATGATACATGGATTCTGCAGGCATCACTGCTTTTCCACAAAAAAAAAAAAAACTGAATATGAATTCTGTCCCTGCCAAGAACAGTGTTGAGATATTTTTTAGAATGCTGATAAGTATTCTGTTTTGTTCTGAAAGGTTGCCACCTCATGCAGATGTATCTGAACTATTATCTCCTCAATCCTCGTTTCAGGGCAGAGGCCTGCTCCACCTTGGTCTAGATTAACACATAGCTCTGAGGAGAGGAATGCTCTTCAGTCTGAATTTCTTGCAAAAGCGGCTGCTGCTGTTGGGATGGTTGTACAGAGACCTCTGTAGAGTCCATTGTGCTGGTGTCGTCTGACAGAGATGAGAAAGAGACCCGAGTCGAAAGCTGCTCAACAGTCAGAGTGCTCAAAGCTGTGCTTTGACCAGAGTTTGGAGAGTTCTTCAGTGTCAGGTCTGAAGCAGGAAGTAGGGGGCCCAGAAGTTTTACAGGACAGAAAGCTGATCCGGTTGGGATGAAATTAACCTTGTTTTTGTCTGGACATGAAAAGAGAGGGGCTGAGACAGGCTGACGAGACCTACAACAAGAAAAAAAAAATTATATATCTGACCACACAAAAATGTTTTATATGAAATGAACTTTGTGGTTCTACAAGCTGCTAAAATGTGAATGACAAGGAATGGGATTAATTGGACAGAGGGGCAAACATCTTCCATATTGGTAGTCAGCTAGCTGATCCACAGCATTAAAAATAGTACTGTCACAAAAATGACTTTATAATTACTGGATAAACATGCAACTTTCAGCAAGAAAAATCTGCAGTACATATGCACATGAAAAAATGCCACAGTAATTTAGAATGACACAAATTTTTCTTTAATAAAAACATTGCAGCAACAACACAAGCCTATTAAATCCCTTTGAGAAACTCCATGAAATAGACTTCTCCTTTCCCATATTCTGTAATTTGTCTGGAGGCTTCCTCCACAACCCAACTTTGCTCCTTCACCATCCAGCAGGCAAGGAATGCTATTAGAGCAAGAAACGTTCCCTCCTTAATCCTTTCATCCACAGGAGTTATGCATGCAACCTCAACAGCATGTGCTCAAATATTGCTGGGTCTAGGGAAAAAGACATGATGTCCAAGAGTTTAATTTCTGATCTCTTGCTCAACAGCAAAACGACTGAGCAAAACCTATGCCATAAGTATACTACCATTCACAATCACTTCACATAGGTTTCATTCCATTTTACATGTTTTATTTGTATCAAAACATAACCTATGCTTGAAACTGATAGAGTATGACAAAGTTTTTGTTTTAAGTCACGAACATTTATAAAGTTAATAAAAAGGTGCATAAATGCTTAGGAAATTAAATGTACCTTATCTTTTCTGCTTGGATTTTTGTTGCCTTTTATAAATGCACAAAAAGAGTTCAATCATAAAAGACTCCATTTCCTCTTCAAACCAACGTGAACACTTCAACTTCTCTTCTGTACAAACTCTAAGAATAGTTTGCTCCTGAAAAACTCATCAGCTGGAATAGTTTATTCATCTGCAGTTGAATCGGCTCAGTAAAAAGGTTTACTGCTTTGCAGATACCAGCTGATATAAAAGGCATTACTTACGACATTTCCTCAAAGACCTTCACTCGCTCACATCCCTCTGGGGGCTCTCGTTTGAACATGTAGCTGTTGTTTGGTTTGGGAGATGAGGCATACTTGGGCAACGGTGAGCTACTCCCACTGTCTGAAAATTTAAAGCAGTTATATTACTAGAGATTGAGAGTGCTTTTTAATTAAATTTGATTTCCAAACAAGATGCCTTTTTCACAATTTAGCCACTATGCCGGTTTGCTTCTACCACAATGCTTCCTTTTATTGTAGGCTATTTCTAACACCCTTGTATAGCACATTTCTTCAGAATAAAAGCTTCAGTGCAGCAGTAATCTCTCATATAACAACACATAACAGGAGGATATTTTTATCCAGAACACTGCAACTGGAATAAAGCAGAGCTGTAATCCTGGAAACAAGTTAGTTCTTTATTATGCATTTCAAAAAAACATAAATCAACAAGATAATATGCATAATACATGCAGAAGAATTATGAGTGGTAATGATAATATGCCTCCTCACTGTATAAACACAGTTACTGAAAATGTGCATATACAGCATATTTCTTATTTTGAAACACAATTCTTCACAGTAATATTGACCTCATTAGTCTCATGAATAGCTGAGAAGTTGCAAAAAACAAAGTTATTTTTGTAATACAGGTAGTGGTACCTCATCATTACATTGTCCTACCTTATTTGCTTCACAACTTATCTGTTTCAGTATTCAAAATAAAGACGACTTCTATTATTCAATTATCACTACTAACTATATGGTATATAGCTACTAAAGGTATTTTTGATGACCTCTAGCTGTCTCAGTATATTTTACAGATGACTCTTATGCACACATGGAACTAAAGGTTTGAAGATCTAGGAGACAAAAATATTGACAGATTTCTTTGTACTTTCTGGCAAACTGGTAAGAGATTAGACTCAACTACGGTAGTGCCAAAAGCACAGAACTTTGAAAACTTAAGGCACTGAAAGAGTTTGCTTTACATAAAAAGAGAAACACCCTTCCCGTCATCTTGGCAACATGAGGCTCAATGCTTCGAGAAAACAAAGTAGGTATGAGATAATTACTCACAGAAATTTAGCTCTTTGTTGTGGCTTCCACCTTTTCAAAAAGAAGTGCCTATCTAAGGCCAATATTAATAACTCCCTATTCTCTCTGCTCACGCTTACAATTAAGTAAAATGAAACACCAAGGTTAAAGACGATGCCAACTTACAAATGCATCTAATTTAGACAAAAATAACTACTGTAGCTTTATTGCTTTTGAGACTTTCTACCAATTTGGAGTATCATACCGTTTTTAAACTCAAATACTCTTCTTTATTCTGCAGCTGTTTATGTGAGCCTTTTCAGCAAGGGTAGAAAATCAACCAAAGCTCCAAGCGTTATGATCTAGATTTGCTCAAGCAATCAAAGGTTCTTTTAAGAGCTTGCAAACAGTAACTACATAAGCACTTGTATAACCGTGACTCAAATACTAAGTCTAACCATTAGAGGTTTTGATATATCAGTATTTCCTCTTAGATGACACAATCAACTCAAATGTCACACTTCCCTTTGAAGATTTCCTATGAAATATACAAGAAAAATTGTTGAAGTGAACTTCAGCAGTGTATTAATTATTCTCCTCTTTCTTGCTGTACAGTGAACCAGAACTTTTACGTACAGAATTTTAGGTGTTAACTGCACAAAGACAGAAAAACCTTAGAGATAATATTACATATTTATCAAGCTGAGAGCATGATGGTCCTTTTGGAATCTTTCCACTATTGGCCCACACACCTCATTCCAAATACAAAAATAATTAACAGAGTCCAGACAGTTTGTTTCCTCCTTCTAATATGTAAAATTGAAGATCCAAGTCTCTATTTAAAACCTCTGAGACACAAAATGTACTACTGTTCATTCTACCACATTAATGGAAAACTGTGGAAGTACATCCAAGGAAAGAATCAAATTGAATTCAAAGTTAAGTCAGTTTTTGGAAGATTTAGAGTCTTGTCTAGCCAGGTCAGTGTTCAATCAAGTTCTTGGTTTAAGATCTGTCTGGCTGAAAATTTTTTGTATAGGACAGTAGCTAAACAGGTAAAAAAAAAAAAAAAAAAAAATTTATGCAATGTAATTTAATTGGATGTGTTTCCCCCTTTCTCTCCCCCTACTTTTTAAAGCTAAGTTGTTAGCTTTTCATTTTGACCAAACACACATCACACTGATATTTCAAAAATACATGGGGTTACTCAGAGGCTGACATGTACAAGCTTAGTATTACTCCTCCATTTACAGCAGTGGGGCTAGAATGGAAGGATACTGGGAAAATATGACACTCTCTAAACTGGTAAGAAGTGCTGTTTACAGCGTAAGCAGGTCTCCAGTTGCAAAAGTATCCTGTAAGCTCTCATTGCAAACTGCAATATTAAGAACCCTTAATGACACTGCAAATGCTCAAACACGGCTATTAACACATTCATTTCTCAGAGTCTGAAATGCATGGTCTTTCATGTTAGAGGATCCTATTTCATCTTCCACTCTTCCACCACCAGGGTATGCTCTGTTGGCGTATTTCAACAAGTTAATCAAATTTCATTATGATGACAATGATTGAAGATTAACAGATGTAACCCTTCCAAAAAGTTTTGTTACCATAATCACATGGAAGACAATCATGCAATCTTACTGTACTACACAGAATTTCTAAACATAAATATTTAAAATTGATATATTCTATTGTTTAAAAAGTGTCTAAGATTGCAATTAAACACTGAACAACAGTATTTCAGCCAACAGATTTAATATCACAAATTTTAACTTGCATATATTATAACAACAAAAGAGATAGACTAAAAGACAACATGTAAAACAATTTTTTTTGAGTGACATAACTTAAAGGAAAAAAGAAACTTTGTCAATGAAACTTGAGATTTGTTTTGATTGAGATTTCCCAGCTCAAAATGCTTTTGTCTCTGAAGACTCTACAAAGACTTGATATACAATTTTCACTTTAAAAGCTAGGAATCAGATACCAGGAAGTTAAAAAGTATCTCCAACCCAAGAGATATTTTTTTTTAGGAATGCACAGTGCTAAACAAAAATACCTAAATCAAAATCCCTGAAAAACAGGTTATGCTGTTTTTGTATTAAAAGGAAAAAAAAAAAAAAAGTGAACCTGCTTATACCTGGGGTGCATTTAACTTTACCTCTGTCAATTATGCATAAGCAAGGTAGGTAACACTCCAAACTACAGTTTCAGAGACAACAATGATGTCAAATAGATCGAGTGAAACTGGTAGCTTTAATGCAGCAAGGCAGTCACTTACCTTGCAAAAGGCTGATATTTGAAAACAAAATCCTAACACCAACTGCCATTAAAATATCGTCTCTTGTCCTTCCCTCTCTGCTGCAGGCAATACTGCTTAGAATCACTACTCTGTTCAGAGCAGTATCATGATCCTTTTCTGAAATTTAGCTTTCACTTTCTTCTAAAAAATTAAATAGATTTTACCAGCTTCTTGCAGAAATGTAAACCAAACAGCTGATACAGTCCAAAGAGCAGCTGTGAGGGCCTCAGGCCAAAGCACAGCTTTGCACAAGAAATAAAAGATGCTTTAGAAATGTAAAGCAGTGCTGTGTCTGTACAGAGCGCTGGCTCCTCTCACTGCTCATGTGTCTCAACCAGACTACTAACCTCCATTTCCTATTCAAAAACATACTCAGGAGCATTCATAAAGCTGATAATTGTATATTTTTAAACAGTAAATCTAAGTAAGTTATTCCAGCAGAGAGGAAAATAAAGTTCAAACTTGAAAAAAGTAACAAGATATTTTCCTTGAGTTTAAAATGTCTTTGTTTGGTTATCTGCAGTAAAATACATTTTGGAAAAATTTATCAGGCCTTACAGCAAACTCCTCACAACCGTTATATTCTAGCATCACAGAACTCTCAAAAAGGGACAGGTGAAAAAACTAAGTTTTGTTTTATAAAGCAGTTAACATCTGTTGATGTTAATAAACTGTCTCTCTCAAAGCTTTCTACACTCCCGTAATTTTTATCTATATCCCTCATTTACCTATAATTAACTACTCTGATGAAGGGATAAAACATTCTTATTCAGAACAACCGACTTATGTGATCGTAATGATCAGGTGCTTTTCTGCCTACAGAGCCCCATTTACAGCTTCTGAGCTAATTACTTCAGGTATTGCTACAAGTTTTTCTAATTTCTACCGTGTCCTTAAAGAACAGAGCTGCGATGATCAAGCTTTCATTTTTCATAAACACAGTATTAAGTATATTAAGAGATACTTAAACTAAAGTAAAAACAGAATTACGTTAACTTTTCAAAGCTGGCTATTTATCGCTGTCATCTACACTGCTACTAAAGCAGTTTTTTGATATGTTGATAGCCAGTCTCAAGACCAAAATCCACAAATGAATATCTATTCCTTGTAAAGTTCAGCAAAAAATTTTCCTCCAAGAAGCTGTTTAAAAAGCCAAGACAGAAGATATGATCCTTGAAAAGCAGTAACAACGTTAGGTGCAATATTCCAAACTCTGTCTTCACCTGCTACTGCCAATAAAATACTACAGAAAATTTCAGGTATTGCAACACTGAAATTGAGCACTACCTGCAAAAGGAATTATTTAATTTGCACTTCCTTGCTTTTTAACATGTATTTGTTATTAGGAGAGACATGAACGAATTTAGCAGTCAATTAAGAATTTGCCCATGTTGTAGCACTCAAGTGGATGTCTGCACAGCGATTTCACTCTTGCAACAGGACATAATTCACATGCATTCTGTTAGTAAGGAAAGTAGGGGGGAAAGCTAAAATCTCTGGTTTTGGAGCACAGTTAACTATCATGTTGGACTAAGAGTTTTACTTTTAACTGGTTAATTTAATTTCCCTCTTCCCTCAAAATTTTAGGATTGGGGCAGGTGATTTTTTTTTTTTTTTTTTTTAATATCTGCTTACTTCCAAATTTAAGATGAGAAGGCAATACTTTTCAGAAGCAAAGAAAAGTTATTTCTCCTTCTCCATTCCCTAATTGTATTTGCTTCAGATTACATGGAATCAAAATTCCTTTAAGAATATATGATTAAGCAGAGAATATTATAGAAAAAAGTTCAAATCTTAATCATTTCCTCAAAATACTGATTAGTCTGAGTTTAGTTTATTAGTAATCTTTGCTAAATCAAAATTTTAAAACTTCTCATTTCCTCTGTGAAATTTACTACTCTTAGCTTGCAATTTTCTCCCAAATTCTGCATCCCTCCAAACTAACATCCACATTTCTAGTTGATATAAGATTTAAGTCTAGCCAACCTGAAGCCCAGAAAGAAGTAAAGAGGAGTTGTCCAAAAGTCAGTCCTTTTACAGTTGTAGTTATATTTTTGTTCTACATGTCTTGTCTGCCAACTAGCTCTTTTAATTACTGAAAGTCCAATTTACCCTCTACAAAACTACTTTTTACGGACTTAGAAAAAATGCAGGATATTGATATATAAACATAAAAACATCACGAAATAGCTTGAAGTGGAGTATAAGAGTTGATGAACAGAGTACTTTCAAACCAGCCCAAACACTCATTTACTAATTCACCATTTTGTTCAGCATTTTTTTTCCATGTTGAATACATATTCTACCACAAACCTTCTGGAAACCTTTTTTAAACACGAACATGTTACTGTCTGAATTCTTCACATTAGATTCTTCATAAATAGTTAAGACTGCTGTGCTCCTCTGACGTATTTATGGAAGATGTTTGTGAAGTTTCACAAACAAGAGGGAAAAAGATATGTAAACAAACAAAACTAGTTTTAATATAAATCTCCAATCCCTCCACAACAATCAAACCAAAACAGAAACAAAAACTGATGTAATGAGTAAAATGAAGGTAGTTGTAAAAGCAGGACATCACATGCCTCCCATACGTAACGGTGGACCATTCTACTCTCACCTTTATCACGGTCATAGAGTAAATCTTCTGTTGAGCAAGGACTCCCATCCTGAGATTCAGGAGGGCAAAAAGGAGAGACACATGGTGAATGACTGCTGCAGCTGCTGCTGCGCTCTTGGACAGACGGAGTCTGAGTGTCAATGCTTCGTGTACTACTACTACGATAGTGAGCAGGTAACGGGGCTCTTCGACCATCAGGGATATCCAAAGGCTGCAAGAGAAATAGGTAATTCAGATTACAGAGAAAAGATCTATAGCCAATGTCAACCTGTAGCACTCAGAACTGAGGTTGTAAGAATAACAAATGTGCCGTTTTTGAAAGAAAACCAGGTTTTACACAAGAAAATAATACAATGTACCATGGACACAATATATACTAATTCCACTGAATTTTGGAACAATGTGCAGACGGTCCAAGTCAACTGTAAATACAATTAGATTATCTTATACAAAGTTAATAATAGAATGTACTTCAACATTTATCTGTACATGCTAGCATTATGTGCATACATCATTACTCTGACACTGATAATCTCTAAGTATACTCAGTGGTACAATTTTCAATAAAGGTCACTGTTATTATAAAAGAAAAACAAGTACCCTGACAAAGATCACATCTGGATAAAAGGAAAAGAATAAAATGTCAAATAAAATAGTGTATTATTGCCATAATAACACATTGAATTACAATTATAAATGAAACTCTCCATGTTTTGCTAGTAAGTCATTCTGCTCTGGCAAACCTCTGCATCCCATCCTTCATCTCTTTAGTTGACCTTTGACAGTAAAGGAAATAAGTAGAAGATGCACAGCCTTATATAAAAGTTCACAAGCTCTGACTTGAATCAAAGCCACTAAGCACTGCCTGCTTCTATCAGTCTAGTTAGCAGTGGCCACAGTGATCTTGCATCCATTCTGCAATATATGGCGTAGACACGTTCACAGTAGTAGACTGGCATGCTCTACCTACTTGTCCTTTCCCAGTGGAAAAATCAGTTTTATCATAAAGATAATGCTGTTTTAAACATAACAAAAAAAAAAAAAATCAAATGAGAATTACAGTTTTGCTTAAAAGTGAAGGGGTAAAAATGTCTGCAAGATTCAAATATCAATTTTGTCCTCAATCCAATAGGGATTATATTAAAGCCCCAGAGAACTGATCAAACATTCTACTACAAAACTTAATGCCTTTTTCCTTCTCGCTTCAAGTGTGCACTTTTATTTCATTGTCTTCCTCCTCCCCATGCACTCCAAAATTACAACAGCCTGTCCAGAGTCTAAAATTCAACCCAATACTCCTTCATGAGCAATAAAGACATGAAACGTATCAGCCAAAAATCGCATTCCCCCCTTCCCAGTGTTTCTCTATCCAGAAAAACGCCAGATGTTAAACAAAGAGGTAGATATAGTAGATCTGAAAGGTCCTCTCCTCCTTATGAGAATTCCAGTTAATACTATTTCATATATCAATTAAAAGCAAAGAAACACGCTATAAGGAGAACATATTACAGTTGCTGTATCAAATGCTTGAAAGTTTGGAAACAGCTGTACGGTCTGTTCCAACAGTTCAGTTCAGATTACACATGCGTTAGATGACTACATGTTGCTATTCCCATCACCCCCACCAGGCCATGACTCATTCAACGCGCAAGATCGACCTGAAGCCTTACATATCATTTGTTACACAGACAGAAGAGAGATGGAAAACGAGACTGAGGCTGCAGAAAGCAGACAGACAGACTCATAACTAATGTAACCAAGAAAATCTGCCATGCAGAGCTGCATTTTATCCCTGTCTCTGCTGCAAAGATTCTAAGAAATGCCAGGAAGTTATCTGAAGCAACCCTTTTCTACCATGGTATCTTTTCTGGATGGCCACTCTATGTAGGACTCAAAAACGCCCTCAGCATTCAGACACAGAAGGAGACTATGAGAGCTGCGCTTAAAACACCTAAAACGGCAAGCAGTATCCTGAATTACTTGAAGAATCACATTATAGAAACCTAATGGATGGAGAAACACAAATCCATCAAGTGCAGATAACATCATTGTTGTTCTTATATAGGTGTGATAAAAAGAATATTTCAGAGGCGCTCATATTATATAACAGCAAAAACCCATGAAGAAATTCAGATTTCTGACTTCAAAGCAAGGTTTAACAGTTAGCGTTAAGACGTACATCTAACGAGGAGAAAACAAAAACACTGAACAGCTGCTCATTAAGTGCATACACTATATTCTACGTAACAGGTAAAACAAGGATTCCAAAGAGGAAAAAGAATAGAACATGATCACATAATTAAAGACTTCAGGATAACACAGATGTTCTTCTACACCTGGAGGAACAATGTTGTGTTATGTACTCACAGAAAGTATATCCCAAGTCACATACTTCAACCTCCACTGAATTAAAATTTCAGGTAAAGAAAGTCATTCATATTTTCAGGCATGCCTCTAGACATACATACAAGTACAAAAAGCTAAATATTTATCTCTCTTTCCAAGTAAAATAACATCTGAAATACAGAAAATGACTGCAAGTATTTCAGATTACTGTGCTTCTGTAGTTACATTTCCCTTCATACTGAATCCAAGTTTTGACCACAAGTCCAAAAAAACTCAGGAAAACATCAAGTAAAATTATATTGCACTTTTTAAAGTTTTAGGTATTAAAGCTGATTTAAAAAACACTTTAGAAGTCACTTTTGATGAGCCATATCTAAACTCAACTTCAAAAACTGAAGTCTTTCCAATTTTAAAATATAAGAAGCAGAAAAATTAACTCAGTGCAGCTGCTGTTAGTTTTCATAACACTCCGTGCATGAGAAATGACTGGAAAGTTTTGCATTCTATATAGCTTTTTTTTTTGCAAAATGGTCCAGTTGTGTACAAGCTTCATACCAAATGCACTGTGATAAGATACCAGCCAACCCCTAGAAGACAGTATGTTCTTGGATGCAGTTACATACCCCCCTCATCTCCCTGTAAAGGTATGGAATCGATCAATTGGACAACAGCATGCACTTTTTAATAGTGTTAAAATTCACCAGATTCCTTTCTGTATCAATCTTTCTGCTGGCGAAGAGAGAGAGAAAGAAAAAAAAAAAAACCACCCTACAAATCATCGGAAGTGCTAGTAAGATATAATATACCAATGGCAGCCTCAAAAAATGATCTGTTCTTCACAAGTCTTATCTTTTTGACATGCAACTTATTGAGAGCAAAGCATTTAATATTTTTTTTATTTAAAAGGTACTGCATAGACTGGAACACAAAGGCAGAGATCGGAAAGTGCTTTTGCCTTCTAACATCAATGAAGTAATCAATGTGTTAGACAAGGTGCATGTGCAAAAACATATAACGTATCCTGAAGAGTGTGTTCCTGGGAAGGAGCCCTTGAAAAAATTAATTTTCAGATGAAGGATATGAAGATGTAAGGTAAAGATCCCCTGCATCTGTGCAAATTAGAAAAACAGTAATTTTATTACAGGATTAAATTTTCTGATAGGGACATAAAAACATCATCTGTTTCTGGAAGTGCTATAAGTTAAACAAGAAAAACATCAATTATAATTACAATATTTTATAATTACATGTTATATATAATGTGTTATATTTTATATATTATGCATAATGTGTTATCTATAATATTTTATATATTATACACAATATAGTGTACACACAGTGTACACATAGTATACACATATAATTATATTTATAATTAATTTATTGTGTGACAGTAAAAACTGCTTCATTTCTAACTACTCTTCTATATTTGAAAGAAGTATCAGGTAAGATTTATTTCTAGTAGGAGACCTATAAACGTGTATGTGTCCAGTTGCATGGCACTTCAGTAGTTTCGTATCATTTTCCATAACTAGGAACCTCTTCCCCCTGCTCCCCAGAAGAGGTTGACCATCCTATTGTACCAAGTCTCAAACTTTTGTGTTGTGGAGTCACTATGGGACTAAGAACAAAAGCCAAAGTCGCAACTTCACAAAAAGCTGTTCCCCTCTTACAATATGGGAAGAGACAGATATGTGACTTCAGTTTCCTGGAAAACCAGTTAGCAAATTATAAAACAGAAGGAAAAATATATCCATGACCTTTTAATAAATGCATTAGAAGAGGGAATCCAGTTTATTAATAAATTGGAGGAGGAAGAAGCTATCATAAAGTGACTCAAAAACGTCACCTTTAACTCTGTTTTCATGAAAGAAAATGCAGAAAGCCTTCAACTAATTAACCAAGAGGGATGATCTGAAAAAAATACATATACACACATGACTAACACGAAAAGGCGGCAATATTTTGAATGCTTGACAACTTACAACTCAATCGCTCTAAATTTATGATCGATTAGATTATTAAAGAATTACCTAACAACATTACTGTATCAACTACATTTGTGAAGCATACAAGAGTAACAAGACTCATCTCTATGTTTGTCAGTATAATTTCTATTTTTACTAAAAATTATTTAAAAAAAAAAAACAAAGTAGAAAGTCTCCAAAGAATTAACAGTACTAAGACAGAAGAGATATTCCAATGAATTTATTCATCTTTTAGGAAGTGGGACTGCAAAAATTCAAGTCAACAAAAGGGAAACTAAGTGTGCAATAATACAACCTGAAAAATAAAAACAATAACAGTCTAAAAATTTAATCAAATTGATTTATGTCTGAAGAGTAAGCAAGAAAGTACAAAACTAGGAGGAAAGTTTCACAGGTTACCAATTGAAACTGGGAGCTAAATTAAAAAAAAATTGAAGAATTCAAGTATGACCACAAAACTAAATCCACTGTAACCCAAACGCTTATTTTCGTCCAGTGTATTAGTTAGTCCGGTTTAAAGATGATGAACAAAGAAAGAAATGAGAGCCCCTTACAAATATTAACATGTTTGCACTGAAAAGATATAGTGAGACTGATAGAAAAAAAAATCCAAGAGAAATAAGACTGAAATTTTAAAAATTAATTAAAATAAAATGCATTTTGTTTTATTCAGGAGAATAGAGGCCAAACGTGGTTAGTCAAAGGAAATGAAGTAGTCTGACAGCTACTAATGCATGGCTAAATTTGATTAAAACATTAGGGAGTGAACTGTACCTAAAATAGTGAGAAGGATTATTACTCTTACTTTTAACAATCATTACATTACCATTCCCAAAAATCTTTCTACAGTTTGCTGACAAATGAATATAGATTCACAGTAAGGTAAGAAGTGTTTTATACAGCTGGATAGATGGATTGATATGAAAACCAAGGTTTAAACATGCATTATTAAAACCGGGAACCAAACTTGAAAGCAGGTTAAGAGAAACTAGCTGAAAACCTATATGCATAGACATACTAGTCTTACAAGCAAGCCGATAAATTCCTGCTTCCATTTCACCCAAAGCAATCAATTATTTTTGATTGCTGTTTGAAAACTTCTCAAAAATACAGAATGTTACAACTAGAAAGAATAATGGCAGAAAATTGAAAGAAAAACAAATTGTTCCACTAGCAGTGAAACTAATGAAGTTCGGTTTCCTATGGTTTATCTTTTGTCCACTAACTCCTAACCTTCAACCTAGCTTCCCCAGGCTAAAAAAATCTAAACTACTTGATTAGAAAAACGCTTACCAGAAGTAAGATTTAGTAAATTACTCTTACTATGACCTTCCATAAGCAAGCTATGAGACTTAGTAAGCTCAAAGATAGCAGTGATAGGAGTCTCGGTTCAGGTTGCACGAGAACACACTTCACAGAAGTGGACAGTTATATAGCAGGAAACAAACCTCTGCCCACAAAGATGGACTTGACTTCAAGGGCAGTATCTAATTTATGACTTTCTTTTGTGTCTGAAGACTCTCCCAGTTAGATGTTTGGAGGAAGGGTTCCCTATTGCCTTGGTTGCGTAAACTGCTGAGCGCCTCTGGCCCCAATCCAACAATGCACTTAAGTATGCGCTTAACTGTTTTGTTGGATCAGAGCCAGTACATTCAGTAACTTATGAGACTGAGTTCTGCATCGAAAGTAATAAGCTGTTAAAGCCCAAGGACAACATTTACGAAGATGATTTGTCTGATAAATAAATAAAATGTCCTCGAACCGTAAAAGATTACAACCCTAGCTACAGCAACATCAATGGCGGTACTGTAATTACATACCTTTTTATACTGTCTTTGGAGATGGCGCAACAAAGTTTATTGATTATGGGTTTTTTTGTTTGTTTGGTTTTAATTTTCTTTACCCTCCTATCAAAACACAGATCTCTTCTAAAAGGATGAGACAGGCTTAGGAAAGCACACTTAGCATAAGACATTTACTATTTCAGTATTTCATTCTTAAGACTGCTTTGTCTACCCAACTAAGTCTTTGGAGAAGGCAAGAATGTTCCAAAGCTTTTTTAAGCTTACTGCCATAATGAAGAACTAAAAACACCAGGTTTTGAAATGTTAAACCTCTGATTAGAGTTTGATTTCTACATTGATTTGCTACTACATGACCATTCAAAAGATCAGGACCTATATTTTAGAGAAGATTAGAGAAAACAGGAGAGTAGCTCATCCCACAGCAAAAAAATTAATTGGTTATTTAGGAGACAGTGTCTGTAAACCAAATATTTGAAGTATGAAGTGTCATCTAAGCATTCCAATATTTTACAACAAGGATTCAAATGCTCCAGGCCTCCTGTATAAGCTAAACTCCTTATTTTGTCCATATTCCCCATATGGAGATCTCCCATGGCACATCAGAGTCTTCTGTTTATGGAAGTAAAGACTAAAATCAAAAAGTATAATATAGCCCAGAAAACTAAATCTTGTCTAAAAAAAGAATACGAAAATGAAGTAAATGAAGTCCTCTCCCAATCTGTGATTACTTACTCCTGTAACCTGAACTATCTGAATTTTCAAGCATTTGCTTTTCTCAAGAAAAACATTCAAGTTTTTCAATGGAAAGGATATTCTAAACAAAGCATGTTTGGCCATAAGTCCTTTTCTTCAAAAAAAAAAAAGGAAAATCAAAACATTAAAACAAATTTCTGAAATAGTCTTTTAAAGAAAATGATTCGCAATTTCAGCTATTAGGAAGGGTTTCACAAGTTTAGAGGCTACAGACAAAAAACAACCATAAATACATTAATACTAACTTACCTTGGATAATTCTTCTTTTCCACTGTTCTCCTTGATGAATACTTTTTCCAATTCAGGGCTTATTCCTTCTACATTACACGGCACACGTGAAACAGTTGATTTTGGCACTGAAACGTTTGACAGTGGCATAGGGACTGATCTGGAAATAGACGCCTAGAAGGTAAAGAGTTACATGGTTTAAAGCTGAAAAATGGAACGAGGTACAAGTCTGACATCTGTACCAAAGAACTTAAAAATGATAAAGTAAGAAACTTGGTATCAATTTTGCCAGCTAGAAGACCATCTTTATGCAGCAAGCTCCAATTAAAAAAATGCTTGCATGAATCAAAAGCCACCAAAACCACCTCTATATGCTAAACTCAGAAGAGTTCTACACTAAAAGCATTCTGCTACCTTATTTATCAATAAGTAGGCAAACATATGTACTTTCTAAAGGTACTAAATATAAAATATGCAGCGACGGGGAGGGGGAGCACACACAGGGTACTGATTCTGACGGTTTAGCTGTGATCCAAAAGGCATTTCCCAGCATTCCTAAAGCTTAACCACTCAACTTGAATATTCACTTAATGCACTTTTATTCTCTTTTGGTTTGCTTCAGTAAAGGAAAAACAAAGCATTTATTCTCAACGTCTAATTTCATTAGCTTATAACGTTTCAGCACTTTATGTCAAAAGTCCTAAAACAAGTCATTTGGAGTTTAAGAATCAAGCATGCAAATAAATGCAAGAATGGATTTCAGAACAAACTGCCATAGTGGAGCTCTACTACTGACAGGAACCATTCACAATAAATGCACATGCATTTGTGCTGCCAGTCTCAAAAGCTTTATCTTGGCAGCAGCTACACAGCATAGATGCACCTACGCTGATGCCATGAGTGATACTCATCTCCCAGAAATATCTTCCTCTCATTCACAGAATCACAGGATGCATTAAAATGACAAAAGGTAAAATATACCTGTGGACGTCTCTAAAGTTCCAATATAGTAAACAGCACTTTTTTCCATCGAGTTCTTCGCAAATGAACATTGCACAACGTGCATTTCAAAGCGTGGAATTCCAAGGCACGTACCACTTGTGTGGAGGCATTACTCTGAATTTGACAAGAACACTGCCTGCAGGATGGCTTCCTACAGCAGTGCCTGACTTGGAAACTTCATTGGTCTTGTTAAAGAACACCACCTTGAAAAATCACAAAGCTGCACAAGCCACTAGCCATGACAGAGTGAGCCCCTGCTGCTAAAAAATGCTACTTCAAAGCGTACGTTAAGGATCGTAGGTGGATATCGGTCTCTTTCAAAGACTGTTTTTACGATTACTATAAATAGCGGCAGATACATGCAACAGCTTACTTCTTTGAGATGGAAAGCAAAACCCTTTCCTACACAGAATGTAGTGAATCTTTTGTTATAGAGGAGTACGATTTTCCGGAAGAATATCAAAGAGTAGGTGTGCTGGCCCAGGTAGAATTCCCCAGATGTCTTCATCACGGGTTTAGGTTTTATCCGCAATGACATTTTATCCAAGCAGAAGAAAGAATATGAAGAAGAATCTGCCATCACAACTCAATCTTTTCTTTCCAAAACACAACCTATCTAAAAAGGTTGTCAAGAAATACAATGACAGAGCAAACAGATTTCAGTAGTTCAAATCATGGCCTATTTGTAACATGGGGAACGAGTTAAGGATCTGCTCATAGGATGAAATTTAATCAGGACTCAAATGTCTCCATCACGAAATGAGGAAAGATGAACTGCTTTCCACAAGTGGCTTAAGGTTCACAAAGTCATTGACAGAACCTTGCCTTACTTTTGAACTAGTAATCAGATTTCAATCCCATTGACAGTTTGTAACTGTTGGAATAGACATCTTGTGGCAGATCTTCCATTACACCTTGCTGAGAATCTCCTTCATTTAGCCAAGTAATTTATCCAAAACTATCCTTCATACATGCCTGTATCTTTCTAACAGAAAAGATACAGATATTCCCAGAGAACAGGCAAGTTCTTATAACTTTGCGATATGTGAAAAGGACCTGAAAATTGTCTTAAGCCAGGCTAATGTTAAAAAATCAGCTATATTAAGATCTGCCTAAACTCTCACATCCCTTTGAAAAAAAAAGGTAAGTAATAAGAAAACAGAAAACAGAAGGTGTAACACTAGAAGCCTGAGAGATTTTAACAGACTTTGATGTTCTATTCCTGATTCAGGGAGAGATGTCTCCTGATAGTGTCTGTTCAGGTATTTTGAAGGCTTGAGAACATTCAACAGAAGATACGTCAAATCCACAGACTGGCTGCTGGAAAGAAGTCCTGTTACGACATTGCCCATTGACACAGAACATTAGAATGGTCATGAACATAATGCGGACATACCATTTTATATCCTAAAATCTCAGTCTTTGATCATGCCTAATTGAGCTTTTACACTGAGCGTCTGGAACAAGACCAGACTGATGATGGTGGCAATTTTTCCATTCAATATGATGGAAACACTCAACAAATACCATAACACAGCAATGGTGTTTCAGCTCAAGTAAGCCACTGCTACGCTGAGAGACTTACATGAAGGCTCTCAGCCTAGAGGACAGGATCCTTTATTTACTACCGATGACTCTGAACCACCATTAGCAGTCAACAGGTATGTCTTAGGGAACACCATGATAAAAAGGATGTGCAATCTGAAGTGTGAGAGATGCTAACCAGCCTTCTAATTCTAGTAAGTGGGTTGCTATAGAAAGCATTGTCTTGATTTCAGCTGAGTTTAAATTTGAAATGAATTATTACACCCTTTTTAAGAAGTCCATCAATTTTCCTTGATGTCATGAGGAAATGGCCTCTATAGCCAGTAAGCTAAAGCTGGCCGATAAGCCAAGTATCAGAAAGATTCCAGAAATGGGACAAGAAAAGGAGGACTTCTCTCAAATCTCTGGTGTTATCAGTGTTGCAAATTATCTGACCAGTCAATGGTAAGGTGAACTACAAGTCTGTCTGTAACAAGCCAATTAGTTCCAGAAAGGCAGAAAACTGATTTCTGTAATCTTAATAGTACAATTAGCTTTTAACAGGTCCCATTCAAAGTTCTGCTTGCTGCTCGAAGACTGATCATTTGTTGGGCTGCCGATCCAGACTGCTTACCCTTACTAATTTTTTCTTTTTCAACAGCTCAGGTGAAATTGGGTGGAGAAATAAGCAAATACCATCTGCAGGAGCAGAGCCTTTTGAAAGTGCTACCACAAAAATCAGTCTGCGAAGCAAGTACATATTCCAAGAAACAGTCTCATCTGGTCATGCTCAGAGCTTTTACAGCATTTTAATATATTTCAGTTGCTATCCTGCGGCAACTCTTCTGTCTTTCATTATATGATGACCATCAGATATAATTCAGTGTAGCTGCAATGGTATCAGGTTGTTAAGCATTTCAATGTAACACAGCAAAACACAAGAAACAAAACAGAAGAACGGTGGGAAGAAACAACAGGCTATTCACTTAGCACTGATAAGAAAAGAGGCTGCTAATATAAACAGCTGTCTACTTACCTGAGTCTGACTGATTGCTATATGGTTGCCATGGAGAGGTGACTGACGTTCTTTCTCTTTACTGTGACGACTACTCTGCTTACTGCGCTGAAGCTGCTGCCTCAGTTTGGCAATCTGCTGGAAAGAAGTTCAGGTGAAGTAATAACGAGTTATGAAATCAATAACTGCTCATATCTTTCCTTATAAAGTAAATCACAGACATTTTAAGTCCTCTTTAGAGGATCTAACAAGCACATTGGATTGTTTGCCCTTGAAGCATGAGCATTAAACCTTCTGTTTGCTTATTAGATTCTTTCTCCAAAGTATCTGCCCTATTTGCCAACCTGAATGTGACAGCAGGCATAGCTTAATTACTACATCTCCTCATTTACAAACCAGCACTGTAGTAACTGATGCAAACAAAACTAGTCCTCCTGACAACTTGAAGGAATTTTTGGCCTCTCACTGGTTTAACTGGGGACCATGAAGCCTACAGTTTAATTTCTTTGATCTTAAACAGAATTAGTGTTGTCCAGTGATAATCCATCATAAAAGTAAAAGAGCCTTCACAAAAAACTGGCAATCAATGTGCATTGCTCTGTGTTGTAGAACTTATTTTATACTTTTAATAGCATTTCCCTGCAGGATGAAATATCACAGATTCCTTCAGGCAGACAAAATTATCTTTTCTGCTGTCTGCCGCAAAGATGTCTAATCAAAAGATACATATTTTAAAGGTCAAGTGCAACTACAGCATTTACCTGATCCTCAATGGAAGCTGAAAGAACTTAATTCAGGATACCTCCACTTACTTATTCCTCCTCAATAATTTCTACATGAAAGAGAGTATTTACCTCTATACACCTTTTCTGAGAAGTTTAGACTATGTGCAAATTTACACTACAGGCAGATACTTCCTTAAGTCTCTGTACGTTTTTCTTTTGTGCTCAGGCCTCACTCTCCTTCATACTCAGCACAGTGACATGTAAGGTAGAACACGTATGCCTCCATTTCATTTTTAACTCAGTTGTAGAGGTATAATTAAAGACCTCAAGGTCAAGCAGGGAGAACTGAATCACACAGAATTCACATTTCAAAGAACTTCATCAACTGGAAAGTAATCTCTCTGCCTGAGTGATGGCCTACAAGCACATTCACTCTGTGGTTAACTCCAAGTAGATAAATACATCACTAATGCCCTTGCAAAGTAACTGTGTGATAGAAAATCACTCCACATCACTCTTCACAGTTCAGAGATGACAGTGCTTGATGAAGGTTTAGATGGAGCTTAGCTCCAGGCTGTGGACTTTTCTTGGTGATGCTTCTGTTATTACTCACAGAAAAGGGATCCACCTTAGTGGCTTCATATCAAGTCCTTGCCACAGCTTGTTATCCATATTCAAAGAGGTGCTACTCAAAATGGTTGAATCCTTTGGATCTGTCAACAATGGACAAACAGTTTAGATCTCCAGAAGAGCCTGAGTGTACAATACATCAAGATAGAGCCCTCCTGTGACTGAGTACCTAAGTCAGGAGAGCCAGATTTGGAGAACTGGAAGACTAACCTCTTGATTAAAGGTGCAACTCGGACACCATGTGGGAAGAAAGTTTGAAGGAAGCTGAATAGATATCTTATCTCTGCAAAGAAATTTTGTCCAGAAACTTCCCCACTCTCCCTGCAGAAGTAATGGCAATTAGGAAACCCAGCTCCATAGAGGAATGGAGAAGCAAGTAGAACTAGTTTGAAAAACAGCATGTAAAAGCATACGTACATCTACCAGGATTTAATTCTAAAATATTAGAGAAGGGGGAGAATAGGGAAAACACCTTTATCGCTTCCTTTAAAAACAGAGCAAGAGAAAAATAAGGCCCAAACCAAAAGATAGCGGTGGACTGAAACGGATGCTACGTGAATCTTTGCTGCTAATCAGAAAGCAAGGACACTAGGCAGGGAGAGAGTCGTATGTAAATATTTTCTCTCTGCTGCATTTTCTTGATGTTGTGCACTTCTTCCTATTTAAAAAGTTAACTACCCCATTTTTAATTCAATGGAAATCTAGGTTTCTGAGTACTCCTCAGGAGCATGCTATAGAAAAGGTCTATATAAATCCACCCCAAAGCTCTGACTCAGAGTCCTGTTGCAACCAGTTTGCAAAACTTCAAAAGAGCAAAGATGTTCACTGTAAAATTTGAACAGTGAAAGCATTAAATGGGAGGGCCCTGATACAGGCTGGTATGTCTCTAAACTGACCAAAACTTTGAAGCCATGATCTTCTCAAAGGAATCATGGACCCCTGGATTAGGAGGTTTTCTCAGCCATGTCAAGAGCTATGCGTACTTTGGAAATCAATAGGTTCTTTGCAGTAACAGAAATAAAATGTTCCTTGAGTCACTGGGGAGAAAGACAAACGCGACAACTTGTTGAAGAATTTGTCTTCTCATGTGAAACCACAATCTGATTATTTAAGCCAAATATCCAATGCAGTGAAGAAATAAAAGTCTCCTCAGTGAGATCATCTGTCCTTACCCCGTAATTGGAAGGGCCCTGGCTTCCTCTGATGTGGTAGTTGTAATTGGAAAAAAAGAACGAGAAAGCAGAGATAGTCATACATAAAGGAACCTGCCATTTGTTTTTCATCTGCTAGATACAGGAGGCAGATGCCTTCCAGCAGAGACTGGCTTCAGAATGGCTGCACTGAATAGGCAGTGCCATCAAGTACATGGAACATGCGAGTCCTCCGAACTTCATGACTCTGTATCTCTTCACTGAGGAGAGTATTCAGGGAATCCACCACTTACTAAAGCTAATCCTGAAATCCTAATCACTGTTTTGTCTTGTACAAACTCATCTTTCTATTGCCCATTCTCTTCCACATTTAGACAAACTCTAAGAAAACCACTATTTCTAACAGAAAGAAGGTAGCTGTGCTAGCTTCCTAGAAAGGTTATCCTCACCTTCTACCTAAGCAACAGAGAAGTGCAACCAGAGCATCAAATAACAACCAAACCGAGCTGTTGACGTACAGAAGGTGCACTGATCCTGACAAAGCAGATATAATTTGTATAGTAAGGAAGGAGACTGAAACGAGTGCCTTTATGGCACCTGTTTTACCAGGTGTTCCAAAGAAAAAGCAGGTCCTCTCTCTTGGGCACTCAACTGATGCAACTAATACAACCCAGGGAATTTGCTGTACAAAGCAATCAATGCCAGGTGACTGGTACCACAAAGAACATGTACTTGAGGATTTAGTTACTACTGTGGCTTAGATACACTTTGACACTGAACACCAATCAGGGCAGAAGACAGCGCCAGAGGGTACTAGAAGTATGAAAAACACTCAAGTGTGCCCAATCCGAGAGCTGAGATGACCATCAGAGCCAAGCTGTTAAGTTAGCTTGAAGGGTCAATGGGACTTGCAAGGCTGGTTCTGAAGCCAAAGAAGAGGAAACACCCTAACAGTTTTCACTGTGGTTTTCATGAAGTGACCTAGTGCCAATATATGCGCTTCCCCCAGCACCATTTAACAATGAACAACACATCCTCCTCCAACACAGTAAGGGTGCCTTGCATAGGGACTGGAAGATGGAATCTAGCCCTTAAGCTGTACAGCAGTACAGAGATTTTATTGAGGCAGATTACGCAGAAAGGGAACAATGTGTTGTGCACCTAAAAAAAAAAAAAAATGCAGCAACAAAGCACTCCAACTCAATGGGGCTGTTAAGAAGAAAAGGAAGAGTTTAGGGCACCATTTCCTTTACATGCCCAAGCACTGAGCAGGAAGGTGCATATACACATGGAAATCATTACTTGAAGAAAGACCTAATGCTTGTTCTTCAAAGCATCCAATCGCTAAAGACATTAAAGTCTTAGCCTTGCACAAATGTGCACTTAGATCCATATAATGAGACAATGGTTTTAGTATACTAATTCAAATTCTCCCTGTTCTGTCTACCTAGCTTGAGGAGGAACAGAAAATTCTCATTATACTATACAAGTTCTCTCATGATGTCCCTTAAGACAAGATTTAAAGGATATGTCTGAAAAAAAATTATTTTTCAAAGAAAAAACAAATTGGGACTTTTACTGATGTTAAATTTAAAATATTTGTGCAGAGCACCAACAAAAAGGGACTACATGTAGAAAATAAAGAATTCCTGCCAATGATTTTCATGAGTTATAAAATCTGCCCTAGCCAAAAAAAAGAAAGTTCCAAATTGCCTTTTTACAAGTCAAAGTTCCCATTACAGACGTCAGACTACTGATAGATGTGCAGCCTTTCTTCTGAACTCTCTTTTTTTTTTTCTCCCCAAAACCTGAGCTTCTTACCATTCAAGGAATTCAAACACTTTGAAAGCTGCTTCCATTATTCAGATACACTTATTTTAAATATTTTGCTACTTCAAGAACTGTAAACACATAAGCCAGTAAATTTCAAATTACATCTTTTAATTCAAATTTTGTACGTGCTCTCATGTGATTGTATCTTGGCAAAAACAAACAAACAAAAAGACATTTGTGCACATCTCTCATCAGGGAGGACTCTGAAAAGAATTAAGAAAGTTTTCAACCTTTCCTCTTAACATGACTATTCCCTGCAATACTCTTGACGCATCTGAAAGATACTTTCTTGACATACTTGAAAGTTGTTTATACAGAAAACAAGAAAAACCACAAAGATCAATGCATCATAACATTAATACACAGATCTATATCAGCTCTTTCCAGGACAAAAACTTGTAGTAGGGCCTTGATTACACATTTCATTATAAGATCACAATGCATGCTGAACTAAAAATAAGAAAAAACTTATAAATATATTTTCTGCTTGCTGAATATTTTTATAGCTGGAAGTGCACTCGAAATAAATATTAATTTTGTATATACTAGATGTAATATGCATGTAATCTAATACAACTAATGGCACACATCTGAAAAACGAACAAATCAGGTTGGTTCTCTACAACACTGGAATAAGATGAGTATCCTGATAACATTACATTCACGGAGATCCAGCCTGCCACTCTGAAGCAACATGTCACTGTTCCTGACCAAATGGTAATTAATTTTAACCAGCAAACAGACCGCCTTTCAACAAATCTGGCATACATAACGAAGTAACTTCCTATTGACGAATAAACCACAAACTCATTGTAAATGGAGAGTTCTCTCTCGTTAAACTTATTTAGTCACAAATTGTTCATGAATAAGTAACACCAGCCGGTGAAAGAGTGAAACAAGCCTCAGAGATTCATAACTCTGAACAAAAGTACTGTTACTGATGTTACTCATAACAAATGCAGTTGCCTAGTAAGGGCTGATACTTTTATTTCCATTGCTTAAGCTCTTGCTTTCATTTACCTAAGCTTTGTCAAATTTTCACTGAAGTCTTACAGGCTACATTCAGCTCTCCTAGCCTTTCCCCGTCAGAAATTTCAGTGCCTTCAGTGCAAGTATTAGAGCTGTTTCAAAAACTAGATTCAAATGAGGGGCAAAAAATGTTTTTTCAACTTGGATGAAATGATTTTATCACAGCTGTCTCACTGAGAGGCTCTACTGCCCCATGCTTTGGAAGAAAGGCCCTTACGCTCCTCTGTGGGTAGGTCCTTTATGCTGGAAATATGTGCCTCTCTTCCCTTGGAAAAAAACATCACATTTGGAAAAGCTTTGGAAAAAAAAAAAAAGCCTGTTTACACGTGTTCAGGAGAGATGCTTGGGACTGGTGGCTTCATTTGCTAGTAATTCTGCCTTTACTGCACTTACAGTTTGACTTGCAGCTGAGGGAACGGAAAAAGAAAGGGATAAAAATGGGAGCCATACGATGGGGAGACAGAACATACAAGTAACTGGAACGTAACTGAGCAAGAACTCAGGTAGGGGAAGATAGACTGGAATTGGCTGGATAATGCACACAGAATGACACCAGGTCTATGACGCTGGGGAGCTAAACAAAATACAGGTTGGGCAAGAAAACTGGGATGAGAAGCTGGAGACAGGGAAAGGAAAACAGAAGGAGGAAAGTAACTATAAGCTGGAGGGGACAAGGGAAAATTTTTAGAGAGAACCACTCTTGCAGCATTTGAATAGAAACAATTCCCTTCCACCTACTCCAATTTTTACCATTACTCTGTTCTATCAGAAAGGAATCATGATTCCCACTGGCCACAAGGTTTCCTATCTTTCTCTTCTGAACAGTTCATGAAGAAGACAATAACCTAGTACAACGGATCAGTGTTAACTCAAATGGCAGAGACTGGCTTACAGACTGAAGGTTTCACTATCACTGACAGTCACCATCATGTGGTGAAGAAAAGCTGTTTGGTGCAGAATTTGATAGGGAACTGCCAGATGATGAAGGATGGTCTGTTAGTAAAAGCAAGTTAATGTTATCCTGGAAATACATATTCTATTCCTGCCTCTGCTAGAGCTCCTGTGTACTGGTATGTAATGTTTAAGCAAAACTTTTCAGACATAAAACTCTTTTTGCACTAATTCCTGGGCAGTTAACTTGTAATTCTGATTTTTGTTCACGGCTGCAAACGAAGTCAGCTAGGTGTTCTGAAGGCCCATGCACCAATAAATCAGCAAAGAGGGGTTTCATAACGGGTGAGACGTGAGTAGACAACACTCATCTCTCTTCACGCCAGGTCCCTGCGTTTAAAACAAAGCTATTGCCACCACTGGAATGCAAGAGTATTCCATATTTTGTCAAATCTGATTTTAAAATTCTCAGGTAATTAAGCTCCCATCACTCCTTTTGACAACTATTCTTCCTATCAATAATTGTCAGGAATAGGACACTACCTATTGCCAGTAACAAGGTCTCCTTGCATGACCTATAAATTTCTCATTTTTGAATGTCATATTAAAGAAGAAGCCAGGACAGAGAACACAAAAGGCTCAAACTATCAGGGAGAAGTCCTACTTTATGACAACACGCTGCAAGATTCACTTCTTAAAAAGAAGGGTGTAGTTCTAGAAGAGAGGCATGACAGGGACATGAGACTAACCGCAGGCCAATTATCTGGCACTGCGCAGAGCTGGAGTTACATGAACTGGCGACAAGAGAGTAGTTTACTGGGGCCTACAATTGGAATAGTATAAATTCAGCTGAGCTGGAGACCATTTTACTATAATTAATTTCTCATAATACAAATCCACTCGACTTTTGATGGGTTCTTTCTAGTTGCTATTGTGGTTATAACAAAATACATACCAAACAGCTTTTCAAGTAATCGTATCATTACTGTATCAAAGACACTTACCCTCCTAGTTCATGTGTGAAACCGATCTTCTATCTTCAGACCTAAACCTGACTGAAATCCCTAACCAAGTATATGCGAACATACTGGCTCATGCTTTGCCTCCTTCAGGACAGCAGTGTTAAAGAACAGAAAAGCCAGCTAAGGTAACAATGAACAGAAAAAAAAAAAAAAAAAAAAATCTGTAAGCAGCAACAAGCAGGCTCTTCGGCACTTGCTCTGGCTGCTCCTTTACAGCCAATAGCACGTAGTAGGAAGGCAGGCATAAAATAACAACCAGTCTTGAAACAACTCTTACGTTGGAGGTAGAACCTGTTTCAAAAGCAGCAGAAGGGAGGGAGAGGGTGCAATTTCCTGGACTCCAGATAACGACTGAAAAATGTCTTGCCATATCGAGACTTCAAAGGCTCCACTGTGTAAAACTTCTCACCTCTTTCAGTTGGTCAGCACTTCCCCATGATGCTGAACGCTGATGTGATCTCTTTTCTGCTCCCTCTTCAGCCCAACAGCTAGGTGTCTAGAGAAAAAAAAAAAAGGAAAATACATTACACTGAATTCTGTACGTAAGAAAATTTTTGGCATAAATTATTGGTTTCATCTTTCTGCAATGTCACAATCCAGACATTACATATAAAGAATAAATTTCAGAATTTGACACATGGCAGTAATTTTCTCTCTTTTTCCCTCTCCACATAGAAACACGGAACATTATAGATAACTCTACAGTTTAACGCTTTGCAAACTTGCATTTACAAAAGATGAGGACTATTAAGCATTACTGAAGAAATTAGATGCCTGACAGTCACTAAAAAAAAAAAAAAAACAAAAAAAAAAGTGGCTGCTCCCATTTCCACTTCAGCATCCATTTCTAGTTTTTACTTAGTATAGTTTAGAAAACCATAACATTAAAAAGTATAAATAAACAAACTCGAAACAGACCAAAAACTAGAATTCACTTCTCCAATTTGTGTTTCTTAATCATGGGGCTATACAATCAATTCCTTCTTGCTTACTCTGACTCAATACACCTTTCATTCTTTTTGGCACTGACCTAAATAATCAGAACAGTGGAGAGCAGCCCTTTTGCAGCTTTGTCGGTAAACCCAGAAGTTATGGAACTGTCCTTGGATATAGGAGCTATAAAAATAAACTCCAAAGACAAAGAAGGGTCTAGAAACCACATCTCCCACTTCCTGAGTTCATTAAGCCACAAGGCTGTTATAGAAATCTTGAGAACTCACCAGTGTTTTTAAAGAAAAGTCTTTGACTATCGGGGGACAATGGGGACATCTAGCATCCAGAGTTTGAGGCATGAACCATGTAAAACTCATGACTACAGGCACACTTATAAATCCATGAAAGAAGTACAACTTCTTCAACAATTCCTACTGCCATTACCCAAACCTTTCACAGTAATACTGGTTGCAAGAAATAATGCAACTGAAAACTGTTAGAATTTTGCCAGGAAGTTTTCAGGGTACAGAATCAGTGAGACAGGAGTCTATTGGTATTATCTCGCCAAGGCAGATGGGACCCCACACCAGCAGGTCAGACAGGCTGGCTGCAGAGAGGTGGATCCTGGATCCTTTCTTTTCTTTAGCATACACCTTCTCTTCACACTTTTTCCACTCTGCTTCCTTTCTAGGATCTAGAAAGTTGTAGAGTATCGGCATCAGCTTGGAGAACAACACAGAAAACAATGTCTACAGTTCTTCGACCCCATTGCTCTGGGAACAGCGATGAAGGCAGAAGCTCAATGGGCCTAGGACATTCAAAGCAAGGATGCAACAGACCAGGCCAATTACCATTAAGCACTGAATTTCAGCTACATACGCTACACCCTTAGAATCACTGCACTATCATAGTATTAATATACGGACTGCAGCCTGGCACCAAACTTGGAAGTGCTAATACTTAATGCGCTAAGACCCTTTGTGTAGATAGGCTTAAGTGTCCCGTTCGTGTTTTCTGCCAGCCCCATACTTTCCACGCTATTTCTTCTCTTTCCATTATTTTTATGCCACCCAGAATATTTCCACCAAAGGCTCTGTAAACTGCGTGGGCGATTAGAAAACAGAATGCAAACCATTACGAAAATGGAAAAATAAGTAATAAAGTTCTTGTTACATGTTCCCAGGGAAGAAAAAGTCTTTATTATAAAGTTAGGGTTCTGCGTATTTATTACATGACTCTCTTTGTGTGGGTCAGGGTGAAGGACAGAAGATGATGCGGTTAAAAAGAGTGAAAAGTTAATGCAGTCATTTAAAACTACCGAGACAATATGAGAGTCACTCAGCCAGACAATCCACAGCTCTCTTCACTCAAAGCAGAGCCTCAGTGCCATGCACATTCTACATATGTGTACTTGCACTTGCTCTTCATTTTAATGGGGTCACATTTTAAATAAATAGTTGTTCTTGCAGACTGGCTACTTACTGTCTCCCTGAAATTCCTAAATGAAAGAAATATTTTATTGGTTTTTAATATTTTTAAAGTATCACCATTTAAGTTGCTTGATATCTAGTTCTCTAAAAATCTGCAATGAAAAACGTAAGAATATCACTCCCTTTTTAAAATCATGGGCTTTCATGACTCATTATAATTTACTTGATAATTTAAATTATTATTTTCTTAAAATATTTTATTACATCCCAAGTACAGCTTTAACCATATCCTCATATTAAAAAACAGGAGAACTTCAATGCAAAGTAAATTCTTTGAAAATTTATTTTCCTGAGAGTGTTTTCTGAACACACTGTTGCTCTGTGGTTTGACAAAAAATTCCTGGACATAATAGAAACAGGTATTTCAGACGTCTAAATATTTTCCTGTAGTCCCGGAGGAAGTAGCAGAGATCACTACAGGCTAATAGCTTTTTCAGTTACAGGTTAATAAACAGAGAACAAATGACATTTACTGTTTTTAGATAGCTAAAATAGTAGCTTTAACCTAAGTGAATTTCTCAATGAAAAGAAGCAAACTAAAAAAACAAAACAAAACAAAATTCCCTATGTATAATGTGAGAGGTTGCTTGCCTTTTTTTTTTAAACATAGATTATTCATCCGGATAACAAGTACTAAAACAACAAACTAACAGGAACATTCTGAAGAACTTCATCAACAACACAGGTGACTTTTAGTAACAAAGAGGTAGGAAAATATATACTGCAGTGGATTGAATCAGAACTCAAAGTAACAAACATAAAATGCACCCACTCTCTTAATATTAGATTTTATACTTTCTCAAGTATACTTTGACACTTCCTTCCACTCAAATCCTATCCCTTCAGAAAGTAATTGCCTATAGGTGCCTTCAGTGTCTGGTAAATTGAGTCATGTCAAAATCCTTCCAAAATATATGTAAGTTTTTTTTATACAGGGGGTAAACTATTTGTGCCCCTCATATTTATTTACAGTATTAATGTATGTCATGCTCCTAGCACAATACTGAAGTCAGGCAATGATGCATTAATGAACTATTTCTATTGAGGCAGAAAAAAAAAGAAAAAAAAAGTTTAAAAATAATACAACATAAGCAGCTGCTGGAATACTATAGCAAGCCAGCCTCTTTCATGCCTCTTTCATGCTGCTTCTAATAAATTGTAACCTACATTATATGAGGATAGGTCTTGGCTGTACCCCTAAATCCTTGAATTAAAACAAAAGCTTTAAAAAATTGTTACATTTAAACAAAAATTTTGCTTTTGCAAGTTTAGCCGATGTATTAACACATCACATATCTCACTTCAGTGCTGCATTCTACATCACAAATAAAAGGGGCCTACCGCACCCTTAATATGCCACATTTCATGAAAGTTGTTTTCCCATCTGTGTTTACAGCCTCTACAAAACATGCTTATTCCTGGAAGCCTTCATTTGAAGCTCCTGCAACGTTCTTCCCATGTGCTAAGCATATTAAAAAACAGAATAAAAGTAAAAAAACACAACTCAACACTGAAGATAAATTTCTTAATCACAATAAACCAAACCAAGGTTGCTGTACTTCAGGTCAGAAACACAGTAACAGAGGTCATAGATACTGTCTGTTAAACAGGTAATGATATCTCAGAGATGAAACAAATCTGCTGTACCACTTAATATGAACTAAAATGTATTTTTCATACATGTCTGTATACAGAAAAAAAAGATTTGAAACATTTTAGGATGAGAACCTTGAAAACATTAAGTATTTTATAATGCCAATATTTGTAATGCATGCTTCGGCATGCTTCAGCTTCAAGAGGTGGAAGATCGTTGATATGTTGAAGGTGAGGGTCCAAGGTTGCAGTCTCAGTTGACACAGTGCTTATACAAGCATGCACACGGGATAGGGCACACTGAGAACACATCTGGTTGCTCTCCTCAGTCTTAACGTAAATTACAATTACTATTGTTCTAACTCACCCAACCTTGCAGAGATTACCATTTCTTCCAAACGTTTGGTAATTCTGCCTTGCTTTTCCACCCGTATCAGGGATATACACCTACATTCTTTCCATTTCATTTAGATTAGAAAAACTACAGAGTACCAGCCTACCTAAACTTAAAATAAGACTGAATTACTCTAAATATCTCACATTTTATTGCCAGCCTTCACTCTACTTCGTATATCTAGCTTGCATTCCAGATGAACTACATATGGGGCAAAGGTTAAGAACAGAGGTCTAGTTTTTATAGGGGAGGTGGTAATGTTTTTGAAGAACTTCCATATTCAGAAGAAAAGCAACAACAGTATGGAAAGATTGATGAGTCTGATGAATCAATCTAATGAAACAGTCTGATGAATCTTTCTTCAGATGTTTCTAAAGCATTTAAAGGCTCTCTAGAAGTTTGGCAGGAAGAAACAGTCTAAAGAGTTAGAAATGAACTGGATTATAGGTGGTAACTGCTCTTAAACAGTAAAAAGAGCTTCATGTAATTGAGCGCCCTGGTTTATAATGCCAATTTTTAAGCAGGAGAATTTCTACCAGAGGAAAACAAAACATTACTCAGGTGACTAATGATAAGTAACTACACTAAAGCCTGGACCTACACAAAGAAAAGCAAAACCCCTTTTCATGTATTTTAGCCAAGCATTCCAGTTTAATAACTCTGCATTATTCTTTAGATTACAGCGCTGTTCAATAAAAATTCTGAAATTCGTTTTCCAAACTTTTCTCATTTCCATTTGTGAATGTATAGTTGCCATATATAATAAAAAAGGCATATCCAAACACACTGGAATCAAGTTAAAAAATAGTCAGTTTTAAGGGGGAAAAATTCACTGAATCATATTCCTCAGAGTCATTTGTTATTTTCTTCGTATCATTTAGATTGAGAAAAATTAGGTAGATTAATTTTAAGTGGTAATTTCTTTGTTATGACATTACTAATGTATTTTATCCCTCATATGTCCTTTTAAAAATTTTTCTAGAAATACGTTTTTAATGATTTAGCTACTGCCAAATAATTAAATTAATAAACTATGACAATTACCAAATGTTTCTGAAGAGGTTAGGCATAATCATTTCAATATAGTTCATTAAACTAAGGAGGAGGAAATTTTCACATGTATAACATGAAGATATGTACAAGATTGCTCCACCAATGCTGCCATCCCAGAGAGAAGCAATACAAAAGGAAGCTATATTGAATTTTAAATAACCTTAATGAAAAGTTGAAACTTTACTGAGAAGGGGAGGGAAGTAGGCCAGTGGAGGAATTTGGGAAGGGCATGACATATCATATATCAATACGTAGTTTAGCTTAAGGTAATAGTAAGTTTCTTTGCATTTCTGAAATGCTTAAAACGGTGCTAGATAAAACAATGCATCTTTGCTTTGATTATCCAATACATGCTGCTGCGTAAAGACCCGCCAGTTGTATGTATGTGCATACACATATATGCACATACACACATATGCCCGAAGAATTCTGTGCAACTTGGAATTACATAACATCACAATGCCTAGTGTTGTGGTGTATTTTTCCCAAAGCAAACAGTTAAGATTCTTTCCTCAATAATGTTTTCATCTGAAATACTTGAGGTGGATAAGAGACACCACAGCAACATGAACTACAGTAACTGTTTTCCCAGATGCCAATAGATCTTTTAAAAAATATTTCCCCTATTTAAATACCAAGATAGTATTGAATTAGTTTGATTATCAGTTTTAAACTCTGTTTTATCTTTAGAAACGGTACTGTTAAAAAAGAAGAAATATTTTATTCATGAGTACTATATAGGTTCAGAAAACTTAAGCAGAAAACAAATGAACACGGAATAAAACTCATTAAGGGTTTATGTGATCACAGTGAAGACCAGAACCTGACCCTTTCCTTATACAAGAAAAACTCTAAGGAGCTTGGACTGGCCATAATCACCACCTTCATGACACTGCACAAACTCTAAATTTAATTAATGTTTCATTAGGGAAAAATAAGTAAAGTATCCTTGAAAGAGAAATAATTGTTCTGTCTACAACATAAGTTATACTCAAAAGTATTCACCATGAGTTTTGCTGGAGTAAAAGAAGAGTATATGTAGTTATTCTCCAATGAGACATTATTAAATAAAAATCTGGTTTTTTTTGGTATCTATCTTGTTTTTCTACTGATTTTGTTTGTTATCATCTCCCACTGCACTAAACTACTAAGTGTTATTATTCTTAGCTCCTGAATAGATATCAACTTCCATGAGTTAAACTGTTACTTAGCCAAGAAATACGAATTAGTGGAAGTATTAGTGCTGCTACTCAGATAAACAGTAAGACTTTGATTTAATTTCATTTGCCATACAGGGGTCTTATCAAGGATTTAGAACTCATCCTTAGTTCTTGAACTTAGAAATACGTAAACTACAGAGAACTCAAAAAAAACAACACTCATAACTTTTGTCATTTAATTTACATTTTAGCATATTCAATATTCAGAGAGAAAACTGCACAGCAACTAAACCATAACTCAGTCAATATTTTATGATTAACCTCTCAAGTAAACATTTTATTCATACACATCTGAAAGTTGCTGTGCCAGTCACTGGGCTCGCTACATTTTATAAATATATTAATATGCTCCTGATTCGTTAAGATACACATTTTTCAGCCCAACTTAAAACCTGCCAATGTTCGGGAGATTTATACATATACAGAATTTTATTAAAAAGACAGCTAATGTAATTCCTTGTTAGAAGGTATCTACACAAATCCAAACCATGAAACTCCCTCAACCTTATTACTTCGAAATAGTCATTCACCTTGTCAGGACAATAGTACTGCCTTTCCTCTCTGTTAAGACTTTTCACTTGACCATGTTGAAAGGGTAAAACTTCACTCCCCGCTATCCTCTCCCCCCTCCAGGAGCTTCGTTTCCAAAAGAGGCAAAGGGTGGCAGCCAACAGGTCAAATAACCTAAACACTTATTTGAGCTCACTAGAAAAGCAATTTTACTGCCAAATGCTTGGAGCTCAAATATTTGTAGAGCAAGTTTGTTTCTCTTTTCTGTAACTAGTGAAAAGGTTTGTTTGTGAATGTTCAAAAATTCTAAACATTCTATTCATAAGGCTATTTGCAGAGCTTGATATGGGCACACATTTTATGACATGGGTTAAGAAATACAGTAACTACAAAGGATGCTACAGAAAAACTCCTGAAGGGAAATGATGGTTTCAAAACAAAGACTTGCGTCCTACTTACAGGCATAGTACTGTCAGATGAAGGCATCCTGGCAGTAAATCTAGGATTAACAGCTTTTAAGGTGTATATTTCTTAACAGAAAAGATGACTGCTTATTCTTTGCTAAAACTGCCTGGATGGTTTCAAAACGAATGAGTAGGATATTAAGACGGTGCTCCCTTAAAGGGCCCCAAGAGAATTTCTTGTAAAACCTACGAATTTCTTTGGACAATTTTAACTGATTCCCAAATTCATTAGGCGGGATTTCTGAATCATACTAAAACTAAGAAACGCCTATCAGTAATAGCTGTCTATAATGTACAAATGCAAAAGCCTTTACAAAACTCAGATAGACCTTTCTTCATTTCTAAGCTTTCTATCCTTAACCTTCCCCCAATCAGAGGACTTTTTTGCATCACTTCACAGCACACTTTGAAGAGACTTGCAAAATTATTTATACATTCTAATTCGTCCTGAGAAATTCAGTATTGCAAGAAGTCCAAAACCTAGTATCAATTTTAAGACCTGTTCCATTTGCTGTAAGCAGCGGTTGCAGAACGGGTGACAAGTAAGTTGCAAATGAGTGGAAACAGAAAATTAACCCAAAACCGTTTACCCGTAAGTAAAGTTATGATAGAAAAAAATCCTTGCTATTTTAAAGGTATCATATGCACTGTGACAACATAAGCTTTCATAAAAAAGACAATTCTTAATGGCATAATAAAGTTTAAGCAAGATGTAGGATGACCGAATTATCATTTTTCTTTGCAGGACATCCATGATAACAATGGATCAGAATCATGACATGACAGGTAGGAAACTGATGTGACAACCGTCCCTACGGTATGGTCCTGAAACTAAAAATATAACCTCAGGTAGATAGTTTCTTCTATTCTCCAGTTACGGTTCAGAATACTGACACTCAAGTGTCTTATTTCATAGCCTAATTACACTATCCAAAAATGAAGAATTTGACTTCTTTGCTAATTATTTGTTTTTTTTTTTTTTTTTTTTTTGGAAACCTGCATTTTTGACTTGTTTGATGGTGATCTTCCTTGGCAAGGAACTCCAGTGTGGGGAATCATGCTAGAAAGAATATTTACCTTTCTAGCCAAAGAGTGCTGGAGCACTACAAATGCCACCGCAGCCTACCTGCCAGAGGTTGCTACTAAGGACAGAACCCCAGAGAGGACCCGGGGGAATTGTGCCATAAATAATTTCAACTGTTTTCCCTTCATAGATGGTGGAAGGCTCTTGCTCTGATGTTTGGCTTCAAGAGGTAACTCCTCCACAGATCATTTTCATTTGCTCTTCTTGCTGCTAAACAGCAGAAGGAACATCTCAAGACAACACCACATACTTAGTTCCTAGATTCCCCTTTTTGAATTCTCTCTAATGACAACCCTGTCAATTCTTTTTAACAATAACCTCTTCCCTTCTCTTCTCCTGCACAGGCACAAACACACGCTTGAGACTCATTGATTTATAAATATGATTTAGTAAAGTCTTTAGTTTGTCAGCCACTACTATCATGGAGTTATTAATATTTTTTTAGTAACATTTGGCACAATTTTGCATATAGCAACTTCAGAATAAACCAGATAAGAGGCTGAGGTTTTAACCTGCTTATTTAGCCACAACAGAAGAGCTGCCCACAAACAGAATGCAATTTTTAACAATTATTTTCTAAAAGCAAAAAATTATTAATTATTAGTTCCATAGCATGTTACTGAATTGATACTATCAGATTAAGAAAACATTATTGTACTCTACTTTTGAGGTCTTTATATTTATAATAAAATTAAGAGATTTCACATTTCTTTGGAATTAAGTTGAGAGAAGATTCTGGACCAGGAGACAAAATACTATCAGAAAGACATCAATTATATCAAACACCTCTGTTGTGTTGTTTCATAGCTTTTACCTGAGTAGATTTATCTTTCATACATGAAGGGTAGTGTACATGGGGATCACGTGGCCACTGTCCTGTGAGGTAAGGTCCTGTTATTGTGTCCAAAGAAGAAGTTCGCCTTATGGTACCAGAAGTTCTGATTTGCTGGGATTTTGGCCTGTCCACTGTAGAAAATCACAATAAAATCAACAGGGAAAAAAAAAAAGTCAGGCTAAATTTGACGTGAAATGTTAAAAGCCAGTTATGAAAAACAATTGCAAGAACATATCAGACATCTTTGTCTAAATGCTAAGCTGAAAAGTAAGACTGCCTTTACATCAAACAGAAGTCAGATAAAGGAGAAAAATACAAAAAGTAAAACTTCAGTTACAAAAAGTAATGCTTAATGTGCTCAAATCTGTAAATGACCAGCCTACTTATGCAATATATGAACGCCTTAAAAAAAAAAAAAGTAAATTTAAATGGAGTGATGGTGCAACTCAGAAAAGCCACATATATTGAAATATAAAATAAAATAAAGTATCAGTAGAAGATTACTTTTAAAAAAGTCAGCTTGTTTAACTTTATAAATATTAAGAAAAAAGGACAGTAAAAAATTATGGTCTTAAGAAAATCCACTTCACCTGTCTTGCTCCTGTGCATTTTATGTTTACAGTATCACAACACAGGCTTTAACAAGTTGAAAGTGTATGACTCCGTTTTCCTCTCTGACATAGCTCAGGTCAAGACAGCTTTTATATCTGTCTTCACTCATCACAGTGTCTGCAATCTTTGACTCCTCCCTTTACTTCTCTCGTCATATACCTAGGTCATTAAACATATTTTCTACATTTCATTTGGAAAACACAAAATAGGGTGATTCATGAAATTGTTCTTTCCCACATAATAGATTTACCACACGCTCTCTGAATCATTTTACTAACTTTCTTTGCCCTTTAGGCTAAATTACTTCATATACTCATTTTCTACACTTCACATAAACCAATCTCATGCTTACATTACAGCTACTATTTTGCTCACCCTTACTAAAATAAGTTTACAAGTGAGATGACTTTCAAAATAGCCACATTCTATGCGTTGATCCATCCCACCAAAACCCTGTTCACCGTTCAAAACTTGAGAACAGATCTGCTAGTACACTTCCAAGGACAAAAAAAGGCCAAGAACTTCCAAACATGTTTTTTCTTTAGATGTATATAACACATAGCAAAGATCTGCCAGGTATTTGTTCAACATGTAAGTAGTTAAATATGTTCTGAAGAGACTTTAAAAAAAAAAATTTTTTTTAACAAGTTAGGGATCACACAAACAAAAACTAGCCAGTGTCTGAAGATGCAGAAATAAGGACTAAGCAAATTTACCTTTGCAAACTTTACATTTATAAGGTCTTACTGTGAAAGCCAAGAAAACACAAGCCCAGGAGACACAAACAAAATATCTATGTCTAGAGAAGGAAATAAGGTCTTTGTCTTCTTCTACGCCCAGAGGAAAGACGACAGCAATTCTAACATTAAGAACTCACATACTTCCATTACAAAGAGAACGGAAACAAACACCATCAAAAACTATTACATATATTTTTTGTAGAGTAACCTTGAAATTTGACTGCAGGACAATTTGTCCAACCCTAAAACTATGAGACGGAAAGTTCAAGATGCAGTCACGTGCATCCCCACTACTCTGCAGTATTTCTTTGAATTACAGGAAATAAATTGCGGACACGATTTCTCAGCTGCACAAGCCACTCTGAGTTAGCACTAATGTAACCCCATTCCTGTTCCACTGGCGTCTGTGTTCCTTCCATCTACTTCAAGCCAGCACTGGCAGGTGTCTCATCGCATGGTGAGGTGATTCACTGAGTTAAACAGAGAAGACTAAACCCTACCAAAAACATCATAAATACAGTTTCCACCATTAGAGGCAGAGCTGGCACAACATAAGGTACAGAAACAAGCACAGGGGAGCAGGAGGAACGACAGGGCTGCAGCAGTGGCGACTTAACTCAATAACACTTTAGGCCCTCTCACCCTTTTATGATATTTCCTTAGACTATGAAAAATAAATGAGTAGGAATCTGCAAATACGAAATTTGAAGGAATTTCTATGAGTTAGCATTTGACAAATTGTCTCATACAGTAGTGATCCTAAAGGTGCGTAGAGACAGTGGGGAACAGAGTAGAACAGGACACCACTGGCTCAGATCAGCTTCAACTGTTGTGGAACCACGAAGCAACTTCAGACCCTTTCCAAACTTCAAGAATGTTCCCAGGATTTATATCTTAATGTTGCTTTTCGCACTTGCAAAAACCCAGACTTACAATGAAGCTACTCTCAGACCTACTACAGAACTTTTGCTTCCCTCCAAATTTCTATTCCCAATGGGATTTTGATGCTACTATCACAAACTTTTTCCCCACTTCCAATCATTTTCTCATGATGGACACCTCATGCTCCAGTTTTCTTGCAGAAGCAAAAAAAGCGCAACCGGTACCTTCCAATATCTGAAGTACTTCAACAGTTCTTGAAGCTATCCAACAGACTTCAGCATTCAAAGAGACTTCAGCAATATTAAAAAATTGCTAAAATTATAGATTCATTTCACCCAAGTTTCAGACTATACCACATCTGACAGAATTCAGAGTGTATAAATGGATTTTATTGCAGTGGAAATAAGTCAGAACAATTCTATTTTCTTTTTCAGTGATGTGTGACATATCTCACAATGACTTCAGCTATATCTCCAGAACAAGTAATCTTAGGGACACAGTACTTAAGAAACATAATGTTACAGGAAAAAGTTAGCTATAAATTATGAAAGCAAGACTTAAGCTAGTAGGAAGGCAAAATACCTCATATGTTATTTAATATATGCCACAAGTTTTCTTAATGATATGCATTTGGGGGCTGCTGTTAGACATTTTAGTTATAAAATGAATTCACGTGAAATGGCACAAGGGCCCACCTGACCGCTACAGCTAGTGAAATTCAGAGCAATCGTACCTCCTAGCAGGTACAAAGCAACTAAAATAACTACCTGAAATTATGGTTCTGTATGTTGTACTGACAGCCAACAGCATTCCAGTTACACTGGGTAGACTAACTGAAAAGGGTTCCCATTTCCCGTCCAGCAAAACGTAACTTGGTAACAGATGAACATAACAGTTCAGAAAAGAGCATGGGGCACCAATAAAACCATCTACTACAGATGCAAAATGAAGAGATTGCCTCCCCACCCAACATGGAGGCAGCTAAACTGGACACAGTCTCAAAATCATGTTCGCAGTCAATTTTAGTTTAAATAATGCTTCCTGCTATCCAGGCAATGAGGAAAGTTACCTGCAGCAGGTGCGCAAGATGGACAGCTAGCATTGCTACCTCCATAAAACCACTTCAAGCTAAATCCACCAGAGCTCATCTGTCAACATTTTTTCTTCCTGTGTCTCTTTCAGGAGTTAGTGGAGGCAGTTCAAATTTGGCCACTCATGTCCTTGGATGGATACATCCAGCTTTAAAAGACTAAAATTATCCTAAGAACTTCTCAGATGACACAGATTCCTCCAAGGCTGAGATAAGTGAAAAATGTGAAATAAAAATAAATTCCTTCTTCCTTAAAACTAGCAGTATTATATTGTCATGTCATTATTGATGTCAGCTAAGTGCTACACACTGGCCAAAAGGCAACAAAACTTTCTTGCAGTAATATCTTGATCTTCTCTTGAAAGTTCATCTATAACTTAAAGGACTTTACACAAGACTGTCAAGTCAGGTCATCAAGAAATACCAGTACAATACTCCAAAATAGAGGTGTAACAGTTTCACAGGACGTGTTTTTCTTCAGTTCAATTACTGCTACTCTAAAACTTTCTGGTTCACCTTTTCAAAACTACTGCTGAAATGTGTCCTAAGCTTAGGCCTTCTTCATTCCTAAAGAACTCCACGTTTTACCTAGGAAGTCAAAACTAATTTTGAAATAATTCTGTCCAAATCTACTCAGAATGGGAGTTTGCTTGGATGCCTTTCAAAAGGCCGAAATTCAGACTTCAACTAGCCTGGCTAGAAGGAGAACTAGAGATCACAACTAATACGTTGGGATATCCATCAAGTATTTCTGGGACATTCCTACTAGAGATCACAATAAATTTACAACAGTCTACAATACCAATGATTCAGAAGCGGCTGTATGTTAATTCTTTTAAAATAATGAAGTAAGTGGAAATGCAGCACGGGAACAGAAACAGTTACCTAGCAATAATAAGCTGAATATTATGGAATGGTGACCCACAGCAATTACTGAGAACGATGGTGCAATGCTTAGGTCATGGTTACCACAGCAGTAGCTGCTGCCGACTGCCAGATACATTTCTAGTCAAAATTCCCCTCTTCTTTTATATCTTCTGCAGGCATGAAAAAGGATATATCTACTATTGCTTACTTAAGGCAACAATTCATTGAGTACTACAAAAGTAGACTTTCAGACAGAAGAGTAAGAACAGTCTTTTCACAAAGTGCCTGCACTCTTTTTAATTTTTTTTTTTTTTAGGGTGAGTATTTACTGATACTGTACTGATTCCTGAACATATGTTTGCTTGGTCTTTTTAATTGCTCTTTCCTTGTCCGATCATGTAGGCAGACTGGTAAATCAGTGCACGTCTCTTCAAAATTTGTCTGTATGACATTGCAATGGAAAAGATTGAAAAACAGAGATTTAGAGGCCTTTCAAAAAATATTTCAATCTTCATTCTCAAAAAGGCTGTGGCAATGCGCTTGTAACTGGAGCCAAAATCTCTCAAGAAAAGGATTAATGGGGGATTTAGGGTCCCTTGAAGTTTTACTCCACAGGATAGATCTACTGGCTCAAAAGACACTTCCCAGTTGCCAGCAACTGACAGGCTTGATTCCGACCCAAGCTGCAAACTAGCTAAACTACTGCATTAACAGTTCTGAGTGCTGCAGCGCAACAAAGAACATACTGTGTGCCCCATACTGTTCGTACAAAATAACCAAGAATAGGATTTTAAATAGCAACTTAAAAAACCCAATGATATATCACTGAAAATATAAAAATGATTTTTAGGCTATTGTAATTTAAAATTAAAATAACTTCTTTAATTGCTCAAAACAATGCAAAATATTAGATTAGATTTTTCAAACATGTAAAATGCCATGTTGCGTTTTGCTAACACAG